TGGCATGATCATTACCAACTCGTCATTATCACCGGCACGATTCACAAAAGAAATGGCTACACGTTGAGCCCTGAGATAAAAAACAAAAATACACATACACTTGGATTTTAAGACATTAATTAACCACATTTTCATTTTTCCTTTTTATCTTTTCTTTGACACTGGAATACATTTAAAACAAAAACTTTCCAACAAAAATATAATTTAGATACTACACTCATATTTATCTTTTATATTTAAGCACTTTAATTGAACAAATTCAACACAATTCCACAAATCACAATGAGGAAAGCTAATATAAACAAAAAACTGTAATTCGATCTACCCGCGTTATGTCACAGAAAAGTACCGATAATCAACACCGGCGAATAACCTCATCATGATCACCTATCCCTAACGGTAAAACGGGTGTTCATTTCATCGGCAGTGATCAGAAACGAGAAAATGACCAGAAAAATCATCGATGGAAGAAAAGCAAAATAAAATTCGAAAATATTCATCGTTTATTCAAATTAACTGACAACTCATTAACAAAAAATCATTGCTGATCGTTACGTCGATTACGATCACCATACTGCTCACGTATACGAGACATCAAAACCATTATCTCGTCATCAGGTATTCTTGTAGCATCCGATCCAGCATCAATGGCCTCGGCCCAAACACCGGCAGGTTCAGGTTGCCTACGAGCAATGAGATTACGTCGCCACCAAGCCTCTGAAATCACGCGACGACGCACGGACTGATTCATGCGAGCACCATCAACATTTCTACCTTGCAAATGAATCCGACGAACTAAAATATAGCAAACAGAATGAGGAAACGTAAAATTTGGAACCTTTTCGATCAAAACTTACCACCTTGATCAATTACCAGCAGATCTTCATTCGTCAAAGCTCGAAAAATGACTTCTATGATTACGACAGCGCCGAATCGATTCGTATCAGCTGAAATAAAACGACATTAAAACCGCATACTAAAATTTTTCAAAATTACATCGACTCACTATAGATCGCTCGACCACCAACGGGCATATTAGCCAGCGGATCACTAGTCACATAATAAATCATATGCACATATCGTTCAGACCTAAAATTAAACAAATTCATGTATCGTTATTACCATTTTATGTATTTTGAAATACCAAAATTAGTTTAAACTTACATAGTAGTGGTACTAAGTCAGTCTTGGCACACTATTGAGGTAGGTCGGTTATATTGCATTAAGAAGGGTGAACCGTGCGATATTTCTTATGCTTTGAGAAGGGGGATCGCACACACACAC